ATGTCCTTAGAGTGTTTGGGCCATGACAGCAAAATAGCTGGGAGTAGCTGACTTACAAGCAACAGAAATCTATTTCTCACAGTTCTGAAGGCTCAGTCCAAAATCAAGGCACTGCCAGGTTTGGTGATGGCACCTTCAATGCTGTGTCCTCTAGAAGGTACACGGGCTGCATCTTCACATGGCAAGAGATGGAAAAGAGGGGAGGCAGCTCTCTGAAGCCTCTTTTATTAGAGCATTAATCCCACTCACAAGGGTTTCACCCTCATGATATAATTGCCTCATAACGGTCCTACCTCTTAGTATCACACTGGTGATTAAGGTTAAACATATAAGATGGGGAGGGCCCATAGCAGTTGGTCCTTCAAGAAAATCAATAAAAGTGATATTCTTTCAGACTAGCCTTGAAACAAAGAATACAAATAATCAAGGTCAGAAATTAAATAGGAAACATCACTACAGATCCTATAGGCATTACAAGAAAAATAGGGGAATGTTACAAATGACTTTATGGCAACAATTTTTGTGACTTAAATGAAGTGAACACACTTCTTACAAACAGTATAAACAGTGGATCAAAAGTGACAAAGGAAGAAGAAAAGTCTTTTATCTATGAAGAAATTAAACTCATCCTCAAAAACCTTCCCACAAAGAAAATTCCAGGCCTATTTAGAGTTGGCAAAGATTTCCTAGGGTGGGAAATTAAATGCAATAAGTACAAAAGATAAAAATTGATAAATTTGCCTTCATCAAAATGAAAATTTTTTCCTCATCAAAAAATATTAAGGAAATGGCAAGGCAAGCCAGTCTGACCAAGGATTTGTGTCACCATATAAAGAATCTTGTAATTAACAATACAAAGAAAAGCCCCATTGTTAAAATGGCCAAAACATATTAAACCAGCATTTTAAAAAAAGGAAGAGAAAGTTGCTTAACACTATTAGTTATAGGAAAATGCAAATTAAGCCACAATGGGACACTACTTCACACCCACTAGAATGGCTAAAAAGACGGACATAACTGATATTAAAGAGGATGTGGAGAAAAGTGAATTCTCATAATTAGTAGAGGGAATGTGAAATGAGTGACCACTTTCCAAAATAATTTCACAGTTTTTTATACACTTGATCTTAGCCAAAAGGCCGAGGAGCAATACACAGTTTTTTATAAAATTAAACATAGATTTACCGCATGGTCCAGCAATTCTAATGGTTATTTTCTAAAGAGAAATAAAAACATATCCACACAAAGACAAATGAATAAATGCTACCAACGTTTGTAGCAACTTTAGTTATGCTCACCCCACACTGGAAATAACCCAAGTATCCATCAACAATACCATACGAGGATGAACTGTGGTATACTACAATGGAACATGGTTCAGCATAAAAAGGAACAAACTACGTATATATGCAATAGCATGAACCTCAAAACATGTTAAGCTAAAGAAACCAACATGAGTACACACTGTCTGATTCAATTTATATGAAACTCAAAAACAGGCAAAATTAGCCTCCTGAGACAGAAACTGAATGGTTACCCAGGGCTGGGAAGACATTAACAAAGAGAGATGAAATTTTTCTTACCACAAAAGTTCTACGATTTTGAGTGAGGGTCTGAAAAGTTCTATGATCTTGATTGAGGGTCTGAAAAGTTCTATGATCTTGATTGAGGGTCTGAAAAGTTCTATGATCTTGATTGATTGAGGGTGTACACATTGGTCAAAGCTCACTGAACAGCACGTTAGAATGGGCACAATTGGTTGTATGTAAATCATACTTCATTGAGTTGATCAAAAAGAAAACAATCCAAATGGAAGGACAGATGAAAGTCACCACCACTGTGTTCTAGGTTTCTATTTGTTTGTGTTTAGTAGCATGTCAGGGGTCCACGTTTGCATCTAAATAAATGACTCACTAGATTATAATCTTAAAAAAAATTATTTAAGACAGAGTCTCATTCTGTTGCCCCAGAATAGAGTGCCACAGTGTCAGAGCTCACAGCAACCTCAAACTCCTGGGCTCAAATGATCCTCTTGCCTCAGCCTCCCAAGTCGCTGGGACTACAGGCATGTACCATCATACCCAGCTAGTTTTTACATTTTTAGTAGAGATGAGATTTTACTCTGCTCAGGCTGGTCTTGAACTCCTGAGCTCAAGTGATCCTCCCACGTTGGCCTCCCAGAGTGCAGGCCTGAGCCACCATGCCCAGCCTATAATCTTAAAATAGAAGATGACATGAGAAACGATGTAAGAACTGAATAAAAATCTGTGGTCTGAACACTTTTAAGCTGACTAACTTTTGATATACTATTTTCTGTTCAAGTATGTTTAAATCATGAGTTGTCAAGATGTGTAGATAAATCTGTCAAGTACACAAGTCTGCCTTTTTGGTACCTAACTCAAAACATTAAGTCTCTTATCAAATGGTCAAGAAAATGTCATTAAAAAAATGTGTAAATGGTATTAAATATTTAGGAAAATTTGATGTGTGAAACATATTCATCAAAATTGGAATGTAATTTCTTTTTTTCTTACAACCTTTTGTACTTACAAGATCTTCAAGTTAAGCTTAGAGATTTAAGGAAAATTATATTTGAAATGTGATTTAATAAAATAAACATTGATCAAAACAAGTACTTATTAAGTATTTTTCTTTTCATACCAACGATAAAGCTCATTGACATATTTCACAACACTTTATTTTTCTTAAGAAATTTATTCTACTTTTGGAGGAAGCTCTGTTTCTTTTTTATCTTCAAATCTAGTAGACTGGCCTATGGCTTATAGCTCAAGCAATATAAAAACACCATACCAATGTATTTCTATATCATAACAAATAATCTATGTGTTGTCCTCCTTAAAGATAAGGTACAGCAAATACCACATCAATTTTAGTTTTTCTTATTTGATCTCTGCATCATCTACAGTGTCCTTCACTTTCTACTTTTAAGGTGACAGCATGGCTTTCCCCCGTCACTGATTTCTAACAAGTTGTGAGATGTGATGACAATAACCATTGAACCTAGAAAGAAAAAGAATTGAGCACAATTTACATGAATAATGGCCTGCATAGACATCTGGGTGCTTCCAAGGTATTTAATCTTAGTAGCTAGGCAGTATTTTCCTCTATTTACAGGTGGAAAAACCAAGGTTATGAAACCTGAAAGCAGCATGGCCAGAACTCAAACTTAACTTCAAAGCTCTGAGCAACTGTAATTCCTCTGAGAGGAAACTATGGATTATTCTCCTAGCTTTGCACTTTTTGGTGTAATCAGTCTGTATCTTTGAGGATTTTTTTTAAAAATCCAGAGTACTGTGATTAGTACTGCATATACAGATTCATTTGACTCTCTGATCAATTTCGTGAATTACTGGTTCATCTGGGGTACTGGTGGTTTTTGTTTCCAGAATGTTGTAACTTTAAGTGAGAAAAAAAGGATAGAGTCTACACTACCCTGATGGAGGGTCCTCTCTGATTCCTCTTCTTGAAGTCTCCCGAGGCACTCCACAAATATCAGCTAATGAATAAATGACAAGTTGTTGGCTAAAAAGAGAAAGTATCAGAACAGATTAAAAATGTGTACATGGTGGCGTGTTTGGCATCTGTTTAGGGCTCATGAAATACATATTTAACAGAGTATTTCCACCATTTCATTAAAACATTCAGCAAAATACTTATTCAACCTTAACTACTCTTGGACAGTTTGTAAGGATGCATGCTTTAACACAATGATGATTCACACACCATCTCTGCTTTTCAAGGATCTCATTTAGAAGAAATAAGGGATACATAATAATACAAAAGGACAGAAAGCAGTAAGTGCTGAAATGAGATTCCCAGTCAAGTGTTTTACGTCTGAAGTCAGAAAGACCAGGTAAGGAAATTCTTTTCCCCTGTCTTAACCTGTTCATGCTCCGTTAACAAAATATTTTAGACAGGGCAACTCATAAATAATACAGATTTATTTTCCAACAGTTCTGGAGGCTGGGGAGTCCAAGGTAAGGACACTGGTGGGTTTGCCATCTGGTGAGGGTCCAGTCTCTGCTTCCAAGATGGCACCCTGTTGCCGCATCCTCTG